GCAAATTTGCGTATTTCAGCCTCTCACGGAACGACGATCGGCCTGACTGCACTTAGTGCTGTTTGATCAGTACAACAGCTTTTTTAGGTCTGTTTCTTTCCACCAGTAGGTACATTGAGGTGATATGAACATACCAGCCAGGTTTCAGCACTAATCTCCAAGGAGAATAGGTGCTGTGCAAATTTGCGTATTTCAGTCTGTCACGGAACGACGATCGGCCTGACTGCACTTAGTGCTGTTTGATTAGTACAACAGCCTTTTTAGGAACATACCAGCCAGGTTTCAGCAAAAATCTCCAAGAAGAATAGGCCCTGTACAAATTTGCGTATTTGCACCGGCGTAAATGATCACAAATCAAACTCCAGTGGTCCGAAGACTGTATATATAATGCATATATGTCTCTGAATTATAGCAGGTAGGTTGTTTGCACTACATATACTTAATTTCAGTCCATTAGGGAGAGAATATTGTATCACACATTGTTCCATAGAATAGCCTGATACTAACGTTATTAATAACATGCTATAGTGCTTCGAACTACAGATATATCAAAATGGTTAAATTACGACATGGTTACAAGATCAAAACTTGTTACGTTATCTGATATCTCAAAATGATTGAACATCCTTTTTGCAAATATGGACAGAATCAGTCATGAAACACATGCTGAGTTAGTGTTTGGTTACTGTGGTAGGTTTTCACGTCTATTTGCAACAATTTGTGTTAATATTTAATGTTTCTGGGTTGTGGGTATCGGTTGTAGTTTGTGATTGTTTTGTGACGGACTGTAATTCCAGAACTGTGTACTGTGCGGTCGTGTTTCACAGCAGCGCTGTACCGACTGCCAGAATGGTTGAGCTGGCAATATTGCGCGGCCAGCAACGCAGCGCGCCAGTTCAAATTGAGGACACATGTCGCTGCACCGATTTTCGCCAATCAGCATTCCAGCTTTGTTCCTTTCAGCCAATACAATTCGCTGGTGCAATGTGCTGCCAGCGCGTACCTTGCAACAACCTTGCCTCATCCAGCTTGTTATGCGATGCAGTGGTGGCATGTGTGGTGGAGAGAAACTTTTCGGTTTGAATCTTTCTTATCGCCTACTGTAAGATTGTCATATCTGACGTGCCATTTTCGAGACCGAAATGCTAAAAAGACACGGTCGGGTAATAAGAACGATTTGAGACGTTATAAACTGAGCAATTAAGAGGCCATACCGATTTTGTTTTGTTTTGGGCCTATTCTGTTCGACAGCCCTGAAATTTCACCCTCCCTCCCTACCCTCCATCTCTCCCTCCCTCCCTCCCTCCCTCCCTCCCTTTCCCTCCCTCCCTCCCTCCTTCCCTCCTTTGCCTCCCTCCCTCCCACCCTCATTTCTATCAAAGCCCCAGAACTCTTTCATTCCTCTGCTCTTTCTCTGAGCTTCCTTTTTTTTTGTTGAGACTGTCCGCCAGATCTGTTACTGCTCCTAGGATGTGTCTGATCGGCTCGGAGTTCCGTCAACTCCAGTTGCTGCTGCGCTTCCCTTCCTTCAGTTTTTTATCGCTCACGGTGGGTGTCTGCTTCCTTGTCTGTCAGCGCGCCCCTGCTCTCGCTTCGTCGACGCCCCTGCTCTCGCTTCGTCGATGCCCTTGCTCTCGCTCCGTCGACTGCTCTTCCTTCTGCGCATCTGGACATCCACTGGGTAATCTTTTCAATAGCTAACGCATGTGATTGCTCGCGATTTTCAAGACCATTTTTTTTAGTTTCCCCGTTTCTGCCTGTTACGTTTTTGTTTCTGTACAGGTCGTCTGCAAACCTGGCGCAACGCCTAGCAACGGAGATGCACAGACTTAGTCGTCGTGGTGTGGACAGCGTTCAGCTCTTTCTCTGGTAAGGAACCTATTCACGCTAGTCATTTCAGCATGGATAGTTCGATTTTGTTGCCTTGCTTCTCTGATGTTGTTTGCAGGTCGCTTACGATATGTGCAAGGCATCCGACTGCGAAATCGTCGCATTATTACGCGTTGGGACGTTTTTTACTAGGTTTTAATATGTTGTGCAGGTACCGTTGAAAACGACTAATTGAAACCAGGCGACCTTCTATTAGGATAGTTGTATGGTGTTAGTTTAGAGTTTCAATGCATAGTGTTACTTTCGAAAGTGTAAATTGTAACTGCTTGATGCTTGTTTCGTTCGATTTCGTCAGTTGATAATATGAACAATTAAAAAGGTTACTTGCTGGAAATGAGATACCACCTGTTGCTGTGTCTTTTGTTCAAAATCAAATGTAGCATAATTATTTTGAAAATTTTAAATATATTTTATGATATGTTGCAAATACGGAGCGTAACTGGTTACCCTGTTTCCGAGGTAAGGTGGTTGTAGCAGGTTATTGTGGCGGTCTTTGTTACCCTGTTATCTGCCATAACTGTAACAAAAGCTAAGTCTACTCTTTTTTCTGGATAGCTATATCTATCGCGTCCCCATTTGTTTAGGCGGTTACGGGCGAATCAATAGTAGTTTTATCGGCAATATATGCGACGACGATTGGTTGTCACTCTGGGAGCACGACGAATGCTCGCAGGCCACGTAAGACGCGAAGCGGTAGAACAGATTCATAGTTACGGAAAGGTTACTTTCACTCTCTTTGTGATGTGCGGCCTCGATACCCCGCGAGTGAATACGCCAATCAGTTTCGAGTTTCACAAACACAACCTGCAAGTGCTGGCGTGACACCTGGTAGTCGAAACAATCGAACATTCATACCTACGGGAGAGTTGCTTTACAGATTTCGAGATGAGCGGCCAAGATGTGTCGCACGCATTTTCGTGAGTTTGCAGCTCAATTGAAACCTACGACAAAGCAACTCTTCCACCCTCTTCGAAGCACCTGACGCGAAGGGTACGGCAAAGCAACTGTGGTGCTCCTTTACCGTAGCTTTGAAAGACCCCATTTTTTTCCGATGATATCAGCAGAAATGTAGGTGTGACACATGCACAAGGAAATTGTTCCAGATTCTGCATTTTCCGGCGGTATCAGCAGTATAAAAGACATAGCGGAAGGGAGACAGCGGGCTCGAGGCGAGCCACGTCGCCCAGCCGAGCTGAATGCGTCCGTGCCGGTTGCCCACGGCGGGATGCAGCCTAGAGTTTTTGCTTGCGAAGCTGTGCTTTGAAACGCCTAGTGGAACTGAACCGCGTGATAGAATCTGTGGAATTTGAAACCAGGACTGCATCCCACCGTCACAAAAAATGCATACACTATCAAGGCAAGAAGTTTGAACGAACCTTGGGAGGCGGCGAACGGGACACAGCGGACTGGAGAAACCACGAAGAGACACGTCAGTAAGATGAGTGAGCTGAATTGAACGATGCGTCCCTTGCCTTCTGTTGCCATCGTGGCGCGGCGAGCTTCCAGGAAACGGCTGGTAGTTATCGCTTGTGAAGCTGTGCGCAAGGTGGCTTTTGAGTCGACTCAAAAGTCAAATCGCTTGTGAAGCTGTGCGCAACTACTATCAGTGATTCTAAGCGTCAATAGAAACGCGTGAATGTGTGTAGACGGTTAAACCAAGAAACTACTGTTACCAGTGCAAACGACGTCCCAAGGAATCCAAGGAGGAAAGCTACTACTAGTAGTACTAGGAAATGAAACTGAGGAAAAGAGTGCAGGAGGTAAGGGTGGGAGGTGGAAGTCCCAGTTTCTTGCCAAGATTGTTCCGCAATTTTCTTCGTGGCTGTGACAGGTCAACATCGCTGACGACGTCAAATTCGCGAGTTGCGACCTCCTTATTCAGCCGTTGAGTGTGGATCTCGACAAATGCGAATGTATCGTCAAGTTACCCTGATCTCGCGAATTCCAACGGGACACGAGTTTCGATGGGTGCGTGGCATGCCAGCAGGGCGTGTCGAGCTCCCAAATATCTCGCCATGTCTGTGAGTCGGACGAATCAGGACAGCAGCTGACCCTGTTGACGAACTCAAATCGTTTCGTTCGCTCTCGCAATAGCGGAACAGGACGAAACCATAATAACGACCACTACAGAAAAGCTCATGCTTTCAGCATACGAAGAGCTACTAACAAATTTGATGATGCGAATTATGGCACTAGCGACCAGCACCCTCGCAACCTGGCATCATAGCGAACTACTGCACAGACCGCGATCTAGCCGCTCACCCCGCGACCTACGTTATCGAAATTTTGTACTATAAAGTGGTCTAGAGATAAGGTAAAGTTGTCAGTTCAACAGAATGGGCCTCCAGTGGCCATAATCATTGCTTCCTCTGCCTTCCGTAAATGATTAGACGTAATCTCGAAGGATACTGTCAAAAGGAACGTCACTTTTGCTCAGTTATTTGGATACCGTATGAGCTGACTCAGCAATAGCACTAGTAACACTGCTCACCGCCATCCTGAATGCCTCCCATCATGGGGCGATGGCAAATCGAGCGAGGGTCGCGTGCGTCGCTAGCTGCTCCGTGAGCGCCGAGAGATTTTGTAGCGCCGCGTGTATTGTGAGAGGCGGCGTCGCGAGCATCGCAGGCGTCGCAGCGAATCGAATGGCGTCAAATGACCACATTTTGCCGCTTTTGAGAATTCTGGTGCCATAATTGCCGCGGATTGTGTTCTCCCCCTGCTCCTCTCCCCATGCCTGTTCGCCCCCGCTCTTCCCCATTTTTTGCTTCGTATCCTCATTCTGTGCTTGTTGTGTTATATAAAAAATTTCCACTTAGATGTACCCGTCCGAGACATCTAAAAACATCAAAATTCCCTTCTTTCCTCCTCCCCCTCCTCTTCTCCCCCTTTCCCCTTTTTGTCCCATCCAATCCACCTGCCTACCCCCCTCTTTTCTCCCCACTCCCTCCCCTTGCCTCATGCTACCTGCCAACCTCTCACAGGCTACGAGAACCTGCTGCCTGCTGGAGAGCCAACCAACCATGCAGCTCACGCGCAGCGCATGCAGTGGGTCCTCGCAGCCATGTCGTCGTCCTTGCCACTGACCAGACCAGACGGCCTTCTGTTAAATGGCGTGGCGATCACCATTGCCTTCCTCATTGTCGCCTTCAGCGCTGGTGGGAGGATTGTCTTCTCCTCTCCTACCTGCTCCACTCCCGTGCATCTTCCCCCCTGCTCCTCGCGAAAGCGCGTGCTCCCGCGACGAGATGGCCGATGCCTTCCTCGAGGTGCGCCGGGGAAGAGGGGAGAGGTGGGCGCGGGGGATGGGAGATGTGGGGGCAGCGAAAGGGTTGGGAGAGGGGAGGGTGGGGGGGGAAGAGGGCATGGAGAACGAAAGCGGGTGCTCTCAAGACGAGATTGCCGACGCCTTCCTCGAGGCGCGCCGGGGAAGAGGGGAGAGGCGCGCGGGGAGAGTTGTGGGGAGGGCGGGGACAGGTGGGGAGAGGGGAGAAAGAGGGGGAGGGTAGGAGGGGTTGGTTGGTGCTTGTTTTTTTATATGATCAAGCCTGTGTTGACAACTGTGTGCCAGCAGACCGCATGGAGACATCTCAAAGCATCCCCTCGTTTACCTTCCCCCCTGTGCCCTTTCCTCCCCTCTCCTCCCCTTGCCAGGTGTGTGAGGACCGCGTACCAGCAGTAGCAGACCGCATGGTGCTGCGCAAGCTGGTTCCAAGTATTTCCCCCGCCTCCCCTCTCCCCCATTCCCCCCCGCCAGGTGTATGAAGACCGTGTACTACCAGCAGACCACAAGCTGGCGCAGGACATGCGCGAGAGGACCGTGGATGCACCGGCGGGTGAGCCAGGGATAAGAAGTGATTGTTGTGGGATGATACCGGTAAGAAATGGGGGGGTGGAAGGGAGGGGGGGGGGGGGGCGAGGAGGGAAAGAGGGGGTTAGGGAAACGGGGATATAAAGATTGCTGGTGCAGGACATGCGCGAGTGGCCACGCCAGCGGGTGAGCGAGAGGAAGAGAGAGGGGGGGAGGGAATACGGGGGATATGGAAGGGTTAAGAGGCGATGGGGGGAAGAAGATGGCAAGGGTTCAGGTGCGTGAGGTCTAAGAAGCAAGACGTAAGGGTTCTCTCCTCTGTTCTTTGCCACCCACTCCACCACGCCTCACCCGTAACCCCCCCTCTCCCCCACGCCTCTCCCCCTTCGCCGGGCCCCTGCCAGGAGGAGACAGCCCCCGAGGAGGCAGTGGGATCCGGTGGGCAGCGCACGTCCCCTTTCCCCCACACCCCTCCCTTAAGCCTCTCCCTGACCCCTCTCTAATGCTCACCCCCCTCCCTTGGTATCTTCCCGTCTCTCTCCCCCTTCGCTGGGCCCCTGCCAGGAGGAGGCAGCCTTGGAGGAGGCGTTGGGATCCGGCTGGCAGTGCAAGTTGCTGTTCGCGCGGATCACCGACTGGCTGGTGGCAGCGCACAGGCCAGCCGCCCTGCCATCAGGTGTGAGTGCGTCCACCAGCATGTGCGGAGCGCAAGGGCTTATGAACGGTCAGAAAAAGACACAGCCTGTTCGGGCAAGGGGGGACCAAGAGGGGGCGTGCGTCTGGTCTGGCGGGGTCAGGTAGGTGCAGGACCTGCAGCGGGTAGGCTGGCTGCAGCAGCCGGGCGGGTGTCAGGAGCCGGGTGGGCACGCTGGGCCTGACAGGTCCATGAGATGTGGGAAGGCCGGCGGCAGGCCCAGTGTTGTCATGAAGGGGCGGAAGGGCGCTGGAAGTAACTCAGCCGGAGAGCTTGCTCTTATGTCTGATGGACCGAGAGGAGTTCCGCAAGGGCAATCGCGCGTCTCGCGTCCGGGCGATGTGATAAGTGGTGTTCCCTGCTCACGTTGGTCGCTGATGTCTGCTCTGCTGAGGCGTCGCCAGTCCTGGTGAAGCCGCCCTTTGGTTTTGTCGCCTTGTATCGATCCTGCCGCTACCAAATCCGGTCTGTGCTCTCATTTGTCGCCTGTTCGTTACCGCTGCCGTTGGCACGCATCGCCACTTGTGTCCATCCATTTAACGGGAAAGAGCCACTCCCGTCATTTCATCACCCCATCATCTCATTACCCCATCAACTCTTCACCAAATCGTCTAATCGCCTTTCCACCCATCCCGGCCATCATGGCAGGGCGTTACAGCATGCACCTCTTTCCTCCCTACCTTGTTCCCTCCCTCATTGCCTATTCCTCCGTCCCTAGCTTCCATTCCCCCACCTGAAACTTCACACCATTTCGCCTCTTCCAGTGCAGAGCAGTGGGGGCATCAGAGGAGTGGGGGAGGTGAGAGGAATGGGGGTTATGAGAGGAGGGTATTGGAAGATTAGGGGGGATGAAAGGAGTGGGAGGCATGAGATGATTGAAGGATATGAGGAGACGGGGGGGGGGGGTGAGAGCAGTGGGGAGTATGAGACGAGTGGAGGGGGGGGGGGGGGGGGGGGAATGATGGAAGTGGGAGGTAGGAGAGGAGTGGGGGATAAGAGAGAGGGGACTATGAGAGATGTGGGGTGAATGAGCGAAATGGGGGATATGAGAGGAATGGGGGGATTAGATCAGTGGAGAGTATGATGGGAGTAGGGGGTATGTGAGGAGTAGGGGGTATGAGACCCAACATCCCCTGCCAGCCAGCCACCCCGTTCGTCCCATTCTGCCATGCCCTTGATCCGATCATATCGCCACGCACAAGCCAAGTGTCCCCTTCTCTCCAAAATTCTCCTCCTCTACCCGAAATAGCCTAAGAGCGGTCACTGATTCGGGCAAGGAGGGACCAAGAGGGGGCAAGGGCAGGACCCGCAGTGGGTAGGCTGGCTGCAGCAGCGGGGTGGGTGTCAGGAGCAGCAGGCACTCTGGACATCACGGGTCCATGAGGTGTGGTAGAGCCGGCGTCAGCCCCAGTATGGTGATGAATGGGCGGAAGGGCGGCGGAGGTTACTTAGCCGGGGAGCTGGCTCGTGGCTTCTGGTCCGAGAGGAGGTCGCCGAGGGGTAATCGCGCATCACGCGTCCAGCCTGCTCACGCTGATCGCTCGTCTGCCGAGGCGTCGCGAGTCCTGGTGAAGCCGCCCCTAAATCCTATCACCTTGGACTGAACCTGCGTCTACTAAGTTAGTTCCGTGCTCTAATTTGTCACCTGTCTAGACACGACTGCCGTTGGCACTCTATTCACCCCATGTTCCACTTGCATGTGTTCAATCTGCCTCCCTTCTCTCCCCAATCGCCCCTGTCCCTCTTCTCTGTCTTCTCTCCCATGAAAGACAGTCCAAGGCATGGCGTGCACTCACAGTCACCACTTTGCTCCATGCTGCTCTCCCGAACCTTTCTATGTGTGTCGTGCATCCTCGTCCTCCACCGCAACCGATTCCAAACCATATTTCTGCTCCCCTTCCCTACCCCCACCCCCCCAGGAATGCACTGCTGCCTTGAGTAACCCAACCATTACCATGACAACCCTCAAGGCAGTGCCACCTTCCCACCGGATTCATTGTTTCCTCAAGCACCTCTGAACACAGCCCTCTTACCTCGTCTACCTCTCCCGAGATTTCCGAAAGTCCGCTCCTCACGCTCCCCATGTCATCACATCCCCTCCGTACCTCGGGAAGAGCTCACTCATATATGGTCCCTCTTCCAGCCGTAACGATTGCTGCCCCGTTTGTTCCATCTTCCAAGGAGCCTCATGCTGCAGCCCCTGCAACCTACTCTTGCTCTCCGTCGTCCACCCTTCTGCCTGCTTCTGGGCGCTCGTCTGTGAATCCCTCTTCCTTGGCAGCCGTTTTAGCCAGGCCGGTGGTACCACATGGGGATGGTACTGTGGTACCACGGGTTTGACACAATCAAATGATGATGCTGTAATCAGAATTGTAAGTTGAACTGTCAACTTTCAATTAATTCTGTGTGTGCATGTATGTTGTTGCAGAAGCAAGTATTCTTTGCTTGACCCTCTCCTGCACCACACTATTCTTGTCTTAACATCCTGAAAACCGTTCCGAGCCTGCAGACGTCTCCGCCTCTCTCTGCTAAAATCTTTTTCCATCCCTTTATATATACCCTCCCTATATCCTGCGGCGTGGTAAAACTACGGTAGATGCTGCCGTTACGCCCACTCTATCCCAGGAGAAGCCTGCATGCTCGTCTATAAACAAGCGGATGCATCTACTGACCCGATGCACGAATATGTTTTGCATGATCACTAGAGGAGAGTTTAATACTCATCTTTTATAGGCATGGCTGAATCAAGTTACTATTTACAACCAGTATTGTAAACGAAAACATGTGTAGCGATAATAAAGGTACCAATACAGTAGTCGTCCATGAAAATGTGCTGGCAGTAATCAAGATGTACCGTAGTCCATGCTGCTGCCTGCCACTACGATAAACAATTATCAGTAAGTTGGTCTCTCAATGATACGCCAGAATTACTTGTGATAGTACATCCACCGATACGAATCATGTCCCCCAGGGAGGCGAGGCTTGCCTTGGTTGTCGAGCAACTTGTCACACCCTGTGAAAACCACACGGTCCAGCAGCTCCAGCTTGCCCACATCATCAGGCAGTGCCTCCAGCTGCTTGCAGCCCTCCAAGTCAAGGGCCTGCAGCCGGCTGAGGCGGGCAAAGTTGGGAGGAAGGGATGTGATGGCAGCCTTGTGCACGCTCAGCTCACGCAGGCAGGCCAGCTGCGTGAGGGACGCAGGGAGATGCGCGAGCGCTAAGCAGTTGGACAGAACCAGCTTGCATAGTCGCGACAGTGCACCGATTGAATCGGGAAGTGAGGGAAGCTTGGGAGCGTTGATCTCGAGGTAGGTGAGCTTGTGAAGAGCTGCGATGGTTGACGGGATCTCCGTCAGCTCAGCCAAGCATAACTCTAGGTGACGCAGCTCCTGCAGCGTTGAGGTGGAGAAGTCTGGAAGCTTCACGACTCCGGTGCTCATAAGTGCGAGGGTGCGGAGGCGAGGCAGGTCGGCCAAGGGGAATGGGAGCTCGCCCTCACATGCCAACACCAGACGCAAGTGCTCCAATGAAGACAAGCTTCTTGACAATGCGGAGGGGAAAATGACAATGCTCAAACTGAATGTCGTGAGGCTGGAAAGAGCATAGGTACCCGGTAAATGGGTGACCTCCGGATAGCTCCCCAACCTGAGAGTTTCCAGCGACCCCGGCAAAAACTTCGGAGCCTTTCTCAGCAGCGCACAGCCGGTCAGCTCCAGCTGCTTCAGCGTCGCCAGATGCATGAGGCTCGTGGGGACTGAGAATAGGCTGCTGCACTTGTCCACCACTAGCACTTCCAGATTCAGTAGCGCTGCCACAGACTCAGGGAGCTTCTGGATCCGAGAGCAGGACAGCAGGTACAGCTCCTGCAGGCGCCTCAGCTTCCCTATGGCGTCTGGCAGCTCGGCCAGCTCACACTCGTGCAGCTCCAGCCTTGTGAGCGAAGCGAGCTGGGTGAAGGAGGGCGGAAGCAGATGCCGTGCCCTGTACGATTTCAGGTAGAGCGTGTGGAGGTTGGTGAGGCCTCCGATGTCGGCAGGGAGAATGAGCAAGGGGGAATCCGCGAGGCACAGGGTCTTGAGCGCTGTGAGGGCGCCCCATCTGCTGCAGAGACTTGGTACCTATCTGCAAACAAAACAATAACCAGTGCAAAAGAAACAGGCAGAACGGCACACATCGCGTCAAAGGATACAATACAGTCTAGCTAACATGATAATACAAACACGGCTGGAACTAACATAATGAAACCGACGGAAAAGCGATAGGTTAGTAGACTTACTGGTTTTCGAATGCGGAATTCACGCGTCGAAGAGGTTCCTCGCACGCCTTTTTATGAGTTGACGATGAGCTTGCAAAATGAACCATGGGGAACAAGCACAAAGCAGGAAACAGAGCAAAAAATATACGACGAAACGGCAATGGGGGTGTCGACAAACTGGTTCATGGCGGCGCCCACGGGTGGAAGTGCTGCCGCACGCGCCATTTTCGGGTTGAAGGTAATGATCTGAAGAGAGACAAAGGGATTCACACACAAGAACGGAAACTTCAGTGATTAATGAACGAAGAGATACATGATTCCGTGTTCGCTCAGAAGACTAGCTGATGATAAACTAAAGAGAGGCAGCCGTGCGACACGAGTTGCGAGATACGACTATCGAGGGGAAACGTATGAGAGATGCACACACATGAATCAAGAAATGAATCAAGAAATGAACTGCGTGATAATTGAAGGTGGGCTTGGGGAGGACGAGGATATGGTTGAGCCAGAGGTGAGAATTGTGGGTGGGGTGGGGACGTGGCGCGGGGCAGAGAAGGGGTGCGACGTGGCGTGCAGCGATTCCTTTTTGCAAGTTTCCATTCGCCATCCAGCGTCAGCTGGCAGTGAATCCACGCAAGCAGCCTGCCCGAAACCTGCCCATGTGGGTACACTTATGGACTGGAAGCGACCTGGGGTTATTTTTTCTGACCTACAGCAGTACAGTGTGCTGTGCTGGACAGTGCTGTGCTGGACATTGCAGTGTTGGCATTCAACCAATGGTAACACAAAACTCGAAAGTCTGTTACATTATGCAATTGTAACATTTATTCGCGACTAGTTTCCGCGGGCGAAGTTCCGTGACGGAGCGAATTGTTTTTCGCCTGTTAACAGTTGGATAATCCGAGGCCTGTGCCGAGTCTGCGGTGCACTTCGCAACCTAGTTGTGACTTCGGGTCTACTTCGGGATGAGACTGTGGGCAAGTTTATGTAGGTAGCCCCGAGGTAACCTGCGTTGGGGGTGAGTTGAGGCCACCCCTGATTTTTGAGACGCAGAGGTTGGACCGACAGTGTTAATGCGGGTCAGCTATGTTTCTAGGCTAGGATATAACCTGATTTAGAGTCTCTCCACATTTACTCTGGTTTCCTACTTGGGCAACTTCGTGCCGGGGGGAATCATGACTTTATCCACGCCATGAGCAATGAAGTACGGCCCGGCGTAGTTCCTCGTGATCTTGATCGTCGTCCACGCAGCAGCAGGCGCCTTCGGACCCTTGGCAAACGACACCACGTTCGCACCTTTTGCCGAGATCTTGTAAAGAGCCTACTTCAACTGAGTACGAAGCGGCTGCACCTTCTTGAAGGTCCTGAAATTCGGAACGGTGTACTTTCTGCTGACAATGTGGTACGCCGTGATGTTGTAGATGGTGGGGATGTTGCTGCTCTTAGCGGGGATCTTCTTAGCGAGGGCTTCGGCTTCTGTGTTGCTGGGGAGGAGGATGGTGGCGTCCGCGAGGGCTGAGAAGTCGTATTTGGAGTTGAGCACGAGGCCGATGTACTTGTTGAAGTCATTGGCGTATTTCGCGTACTGCGGGTAACGTTTCGTGATGGTGTTCGCCATGTTGTTCAGCTCCGCTTTGAGCTGCGCCTTGGTGGGTTTGGCCTTGGGCTTCGCTTGCGCGTTTGCGCCAGCCGCGCAGAGGGCGACGCAGATGAGCGCGAGGACGGCGAGGACGCGTAAATTACTAGCCATTATAGATAAAAGCTTGGCTGCGCGAGCTTATGAGCCTTTGGGGATGAGTATGGAGTGCAAAATCTAAACCAAACGTGGCTGCACTGATAATTCAGCGCAGGTTTAAATCAGCTGATAAAAACTCTAAATTTGGTTGCTACTAAAGTGGTGTTGATATGCTCAGAAGAAATTGTGGAAGGACTGAAGTGAAAGGCTGTTGATGATGGAAATGAGCTCAACGATGAGCAATTTGTAGGGGAAGAGGTGGAGGAGGAGGAAACGGGTTACCAGCCAGCAACGTTGCAACACTGATCGTCACGAAGCTCCAATTGTGGGGCCAAAATCCTCGCCACCCGCGAGCGCGGTGCGACGAAACGCGCTTGCGAGAGCGACGCCGCTGTGTGTGGAAGATTTCGGCGGAGTTGGGGAGGGAGGTAACTGCTGCGACGGTGGGGTTACAGCTGGAGAGAACGCAGACGAAAGGCGACAAAACGGTGCTGAGATGGTGGTGACGAAAGTCTGGCGATGGTGGGGAAGAACTTCGTTGAGGTGGCTTCCGCAGCAGCTGATATCCGCGGTCTCGAGTGCAAGTCGAGATTGGAATTGCGAATCTCTGGCGAGTTCTGTTACACAAGCGATGTGAAACTCAAGTCCGACTTGAAGAGGCATCGCCTGTAGTTAGGGCGTATTCCTAACTTCGTGTCATCCGCACTTCGTGTCATCCGAATGTGTTTTTCCCCGAGAAAAGAATTGCCGATTCGACTTCGGGTCATCCGACGCGGCACATTTGAGTGGTCCCACATGTTCGGATGACACGAGGGCCGGATGACACGAAGTCAGGAATACGCCCTTATTACATACATGAATGGAATATCTGGATACTTAATTATGAATCAGCTAAAAACGAGTCTGAATGTGGGATTCTCGGATGGCCTAGTGCGGCTGCCCTTGCTGTGCCGTCGAATGCGGCGGAAATCCTGCCAGAGTTCCTCTTGAATCTCGACCTTGCCGGGATTGGTTTTTGCCAATTAGGGCGTGTGTCCTTCGGCAATATTTGTAAAGTTTGCTTTTTAGACTCGAGTTTTTATAGTTTGAACTAGGTTCGAACTGTAGTCGAATATTACAACTCTCGATAGCCGAGCCGCCCTGCAAATTTCCAGTCAAGCAAATGTGACATCGAGAGTTCGATTATCGAACTCGACTTTCTACAGCATTGCTCGCGTCGCGTACCCGTCTCGTAGGTTACCCTGTCTGGGTTCTTGACAGTGCGCCACGTCGTCACTGGGCGACACGGAACAGAGCGGCCTACAAATAGCGCACGATGACCTTCGTCAGTGTCGCCGATTTCGCCGCAGCTATGAACATGGTCAGAAGGACACACGTTCACAAATTCGTGCGGGCCCACGTTCGGCCATAAAGTCGACCGGTGTTCGTATTCCACATTCGGTTCCACCTTCCGCCACTGTTCTCACGAATATCGCAAACCATTCTGCCGAAATTGGCGAAACAGGTAACCACCCAAAACTCGAACTCGAATTTGAACCTGGCCCACCAAGGACACGCGCCCTTACGAACTGATTTCGTTAGCGAATTGATTCGCGTGCGTTCTTCACTGTTCGCAACTTTCACCTGACAAATTGTGACTCAGATTCTCAACTTGTCCTCAACAGCTTATGGCTTCTAGCTTACGGAGTGTATCTATCCGCCATTCAACCCTCCCAGACCTCCCAGCCGCAGCCATGACAGCAGTTCGTAGGCAGCTCGGATTGCGAGTTGTGATGTTGATGTCTCGCGACTGGTTACTCGGATTTTGCCGAAGGAGATCGTCACATCAACCTCTTATGCCCCTCGCAAACTTGATCCATGTCTCGCCACCCATCCCGCTCATCTCGATTGATCTCCTTCGTCCGATTGCCTCTGGTCGTTCTCCACCGTCGGATCCATCCCGTCAACGCCACCTAGTCCGTTGATTTCCCATGAAACGGCAAACCCTAATTTCGAGCCTCCGTGAATGGCGCCGCAATTGCCGCGGCGAGTGGCGGCAAAGGGCACCGCCACTGCCAGGAGCAGAGGCAGCAGCACGGCATCTGGAATAGCTGAGGCAGGGGAAGCAGGGCAGCAGCAGCAGCAGCAGCAGCAGCAGCAGCAGCAGCAGCAGCAGCAGCAGCAGCGGCCGCAGGGGAGCAGCTGAGGCAGGGGAAGGTGGAAAGTCACATGGTGGCGGTTCGAGGCGCGTTCAGCCAGCTAGCGGCGGAGCCGCTGCAGTGGGCGCTTGGCAGGGCGGCGTTCTTTGTCCCGACGCGCGTTGAGGAGAATAGCATTCCGCGTCTGCTGAATGGGGAGAGTGTGAATATTGCGAGTTGAGGGGTGTGAGTGAAGCATTTCAATCGTGAAAGAAACGAGCTGCTTTGAGGTGATGCAAGGTGGGGCCTTGCCTTGTGCAATGTGCTGTGGGTTGAGTTGGAGCTTCTGAGATGGATTAAAGGTCATGACGAATTCCGAACGCTTCTCACTCACTTTGCATCATCCACTTACCGTTTGCAAAAGCTAAAGAATCTCGCTACGCATCTCAACATTGTGCTCTTCCCCCTCATCCCCATCTCTTCCCCAGTGGCCCGTTTGTCTTTGTTTGACGCCCACGTTGGAGCTGGCCAATCAGGTGGTGGAGGAGGCTCAGTCAGAGGTGCACTCGCTTTGTGCCGGAGCTGACGGTTGATGTGGTGACGGCTGCTGCATCGCAGCAAGCTGTGTCTCGGGCATCTCGTTCTTTTCACCCTAGCGGTCAATGAGTGAGTGGTGTATGTGCGCATGGGGTTGGTTTTCTCACTTCGTGCCAGAGCTGATGGGGGAAGGGGTGACTGCTGTGGGGGAAGTGGTGACTGCTGTGGGGGAAGTGGTGACTGCTGTGAGGGAAGTGGTGACTGCTGTGGGGGAAGTGGGTGCTATGCTTCACTGTCGGTCCTACCTGGTTTTTTCGTCATGATGGGTGCTTTGAGCTATCGGCTCGGCGCTCTTATTCTCTTCATGCCGACTTTTCGCCGGAATGTGACTATTTTTCCCCACCCAATGTCCGTGTAGTGCTTTGCTTTCGCCGTGTCATGCCGTCGTCTCGCCATGTCACGCCATGTCACGCCGTCATTTCGCCATTCCACGTCATCAATTCACCATGTCACGCCGTCTTTTCGCCATGTCACGCCGTCTTTTCGCCATGCCATGTCACGCCGTCTTTTCGCCATGTTACACCGCGATTTCGCCATGTCACGCTGCCACTTCGCCATGTCACGCCTTCAGTTCGCCGCGCCGCCATTTCGCCACGGCTATGTCCCCCGGCTCTGTCCCCTGGCTGTGTGCGGCAGGGTGTGGAGTGTTTGACAGCAGAGGACAGTGTGGTGAACTAGATGACGGTCACCGTGACGCTGCTCAAGAGCCTTGAGGTGGTCAGCGGAATCGCTGTCACCATGGTGTGCATGGTGAGTGTTCTTTACTTTGTTGATTCCCACCCACCCGTTTCCACGATCCCTTCCTCCTCCCACAATCGCTGAGAAATTATGTCACAAGACCCTGTCTCTCAGGGGTTTTCCATTCCGTATATGCAACCTCTTTGTGGGCTTCAACCCGTCGCATCACCTCGCCACTCGCCTCATCACATTCACTGGTACTTCTGCTGCTGCTGCTGCTGCTGCTGCTGCTGCTGCAGAGGTTGCTACGGCAGCAACATGTCTTTCACCAAACCCTCCTGCTACCACTTGCCCCACCTGAGCCCTTTGCATATGCTGCTGCTGCTGCTGCTGCATCTGCCACATTCACACCCCCCTGCGCCGCCTGCAGCTGCATCAGTGGCATGGGGGAAGGAGAAACCGCGGGGGTGGTCAACAGGAGCGGGGAACAGAAGTAGCAGCAGTGTCAGCAGCGTGAGCACTGAGCGGCAGCTGAACTGAATGTTTCTTTTCCAGGCCTCTCTTGCACATCTGCCTCCATCTCTCCAGCAGCCACTGGTATGCAATCTGTGTGTTGTGCTGCTTCAGCAGCAGCACCTTTTCGGCCAGCACCCATGGGATTGCATTATCCCGCCCATCCGCGCGCCCACCCACTTCCTATCTATGGGTAAGGTCATGGTGCAGTCACTCGCCCTCCCCTTCTGCTCCCCCATCAACCCAATCAAGCAGCAGCATCATGGCCATTGCACCTTCAGACAACCCCCTCCCACCCCTTACATCACCTACACCAGAACAATCTGCTCTCCCTCAATGCCCCCCTCCATGCCCCACTGGCCCTCCTTGCTGCCAATACATCCTCTCTCCCACCTAAGCCTGTAAAAGAATATTCGTATTCGGTAACTATTCGATATTCGCTTCGAATACCGCAATTCGTAAGAATAGAATACGATGGAGTATTCGTCAATATTCGCTTCAGAGGTATTCGTAGAATAGGAGTACCGGGTGAAGAATATTCGGGGTATTCGATACTATTCGCTATTCGGACATTATTGCCCCTCAATACTTGACCATGCATTTTACATCGATTTTTGCAGGGAACGGTGATACTGCCAAGTTTGACGGTTAATTTCTGCATCACTCGTCTTTTACATAAGTTGCGACATCATGAAAGACATCATAAAATGTGTACAGTTGTATGTTTTTTTAATTATATGACATGAAATGTTTGAGAGACTATACAGTTTCTTTTTTAATGCAGTGTGTATTTATACATCACAAAGTCATGGTAACCGCGCAACAGCACCCACACATTTTTAGCGGATTTCTGGCCGCTTGCCGCCCTGCCGAAAATTGGCGGTTTCCTGCTATGCGGCGGCTGTTGTTGACGGCGACTCAGAGGGCCTTCCTGGGATGGGGCCCCAACCGACGTGCCACCAGCAACAGTGCCCGGGGGGGGGGGGGGGAGAATGTGGACATCGCACGATTTGGAAGGTCGTGTCAGAACGATTTTAGCGCTAGACTGTCACGGAACCCGGTCGTGACTCGTGGGTAGTTGTCGCACGTGAAAAATTTCAATCAAGAACGCGCACAAATTTTTGAAACATTATCTCCCTAAAATTACGGAAGTTCCCTCACAGTACGGGAGTAGGGGGCCGTTGAAAAATGACGCAATTATATTCGAATTGGACGCTGTTACGTGGTTGCGCCAATTGAAGAATCGACTCTCGCCTTAAGCGAAGAGAAACATTGGCGCAAATATCTAGGGGTGCTTTCGCGGACTGACAACCGCGCAAATTTCATGCGAGGCTACTTCGAAAAAACAAACGGTAAGTCTCCCGAGTCAATGGCGCGGAATTCTTGAAGTGTCCGTTTTTTTTTTTTTTAATATTCCCCGCGTTGCAGGTGCACGCGCCTCGAAATTTTCAGTGCTAATGTTCTGCGCCACTTACTATAAACATAGTTTAACTTCAGACTTGAATCCAGAGTTCTCAGAGTTTATCAAATCTGAAAACGCTGGACGCTCTTAACATTCCTGAAACGACGCAAGTTACGATGGCGCCCGTCGATGCAACAATGCAGTCTAACATCCATGACGACGCTTCTGCAGTAAATCCGCCTGCTGAGCAAGGATCGGTCGCCGTCCCGTCGAACTCAGATAAGCGTGTACGATCCGTAACCTGCTCCGCTCCCAACAATGAAGACGGGGCAACGCCAGAGTCCAAAAAAAGGGCGAAGACAGCTCCTTGCTGGCAAGTTTTTGAAGCTGAAGGTAGTGAAACGGCTCGATGTCTTCTGTGTCCAACAAGACAAATCTTCAAAGTTCCTAAGGGTTCAACTACATCTGGTATGAAGAATCATTTGAAAACCCAACACCCTATTCGCCATGCTGAGTTGTACCCTGACGAATCTTCATCTGGCCTTCAGAGCATTGAAAAGTGCATTTCACGAGGCACGTACTCGGATGCGGAAAATCGTCGCCGACTGGTACGTATTTTCTCCAAGGGCGTCATTTCTTTCTCCTTTATCGAGTCTGCTGAATTGAAAAATTATTTGCAGTGGCTGGAGCCACAAGTCAAAGTCCCTTGTCGTGTCACTATCGCAACTGACATCATGAAAGCCTACGAAGATCTCCGCGCAAAGCTAAAGAAGCGACTTGGTGCCTTGTCTTCGAAAATCTCCTTTACGTGTGACCTGTGGACAGCACCCAACATGGATCCTTACATGGCCATTACTGCACACTGGATCGACGAAAACTTTGAAAGTAAGTCGATTTTGTTAGATTTTCGGCGTCTGGGAGGACAACACACCGGAGAGGCAATCAAGGAGGCCTTCATTGATTCTGTCTACACACAATGGGAATTGCAAGACAAGGTAATGGGGGTCACAGTTGACAATGCTTCTACAAATGAGAAGTTCCTGTCGCTGCTTGCAGAGGAAAAAGGATTCTGCAAGGACAGGCACCTTATGTGCTTTGCTCATGTCCTGCACCTCGCTGCAGAATGCTTTCTGAAGGCGCCTCGTGTTGATCGAGCGCTAGCAAAAATCCGGGGACTTGCAGTTTACCTCGGTGGCTCATCCCAGCGCAAGGAGAAGTTCTCAAACATCTGCCTGGAGAAAAAAATTAAGGACAAAAGATCGCTTAAGCAAGATACCCCAACCAGATGGGGCAGCACTTACGCCATGGTGGACCGCGCCAGGGATTTGAAGCCCGCCATATCTGCGTACATGAAGGAGGTGCGGGATGAGGTTTTTGAGAAGCTAAGAATGAGGGAAGAAGAGTGGGAATCTCTTGACCAGGTGCACTGAATTCTGGCTCCATTGCATGAGATCACTACCATTTTGGAAGCATCATCATATGCAACTGTTTCTCTCTGCATCCCTCTCATGAATAAACTCATGGACATTCTTGAGCGTGGTGTGGAAAGGGAAGATGACTTCAGTGATGCTTGTGCAGCTGGACTTGAGAAACTGGAGAAATACTACAACAAGACGTCGGAGGAGTACACCATTGCAACAATTCTGGACCCACGTTTCAACCTGAGCTACTATACCGCCGAGGCACAGAACAAGGGCCACGTCAATGAGGCCACGGTTCGCCGAACCATCACGAAGTCGTTTCTGCAGTACAAGGAAAAGTATGATGCAACGAAGGAGAAGACAGGAGCTCACACTGCAGCAACAGCCAGCAACAAGAAGCCGACATCCATACTGGGAGGGCTGTTTCGACAGGCTGGTGCAAAGAGAAAAGACAAAGCAGACAAGCAGCTCGCGGAGTATCTTGCTGAAGAAGGGCCTGAAGTTCCTACGGGAAAAATGGCCACGTTCAAGGAGTGGTGGGTGAGTCACGAAAGGTATTACCCAATCGTGGCCAAGATGGCGAGAGACTATCTCGCAATGCCTGGAACCTCTGCAGACTCGGAGCGCTCGTTTTCATTAGCCCGACAAATGATTACCGATTTCAGGTACAGCTTGAATCCTGAAACGGTTAGGGCTTGTATGTGTTTGAGATCGTGGCATGCTCTGGAGGACTCGGAAGTTCAGAAATGATGAAAGTTTTTGATTCACGGATAGTCAATATTACATCAGAAGGAAGCGCATACGAACATCTATCACAAAATAACCAAAATGGAAAGACACACAACAGCCAGACAACTTTCACTGAAGGGTGCGCGCTGATTCCAGTCTTCCTAGTGCACTGCATGAATGGGGATTAGCATGCAGTTAGTGTCAACGTACAAAAGTCCAGAGCGCAGGCAATAAAAAAAAAACACGGAAAAGGACAATCAGCGTGCGTTATGTGCTACCCTAAACGGGCAAACAGAAGTCACATACCTGTTGCTGACGTGATATCGATGCAGAGAGGCGGAGTGGAGGGTAGCTTAGTGAAACGAGCCTACAAAGACGAATTGGGAAAATGAAATTGAGATAGAGTTCGGAGGAGGGGGTCGTTCTTGCAGGGGCACGCAGAGAATTTCGACTGTCGAGCAGGGGGGGAGTAGCCGGCGGGGTGAGGTGTACCGCATAGTGGTTGCTGAAGCTTTTCCGTGCGAAGGGTCGCGCGGAAAATGAGTATGGTTGGGGGATGGGGGAGGGAGGGGGGAGGGATGGGGAAGGCGTGGTGTCACGATACCACGCTGTCAGCAGCACTGGCGGGGTAAGCGACGGCTTGGGAGTGTTGCGCGGGAGCAATCGAAGCAAAAATTCTGGAGCCAATAACCTCCTCATCAGGCAAGTGCACATCAGTTGGCATCGCTGCCAACTGACAGCTGTTTCACAGCTGTGTTGTCGCGTGAATCACGTGGGACCAGTGTGGCCAGCTGTGAGGTGCATGTTCCGCATTGTTCACGGGCAGGAGGGAGTGTATCTGTTTCGTCCTCTTTCGAGCAGTGGTGCAGTCGATTACGAAGAAATCGGGGGTACAGTAAATATGTGACGGGGTTGAAAACAAAACAACAGTAGGCAGGTGAAAGCAGTAAAAAGTGACGGGTTGTGGAAAGAAAAAAAAACAGTGGCATTAGCAAGCAGACTACACGTCAGTAGGCAGCATTCCCCCCACAATTGCCAGCTGTATTCCGCATGAACAGCGACTAAATGACACGCACGGGTGAGAAGTGAATAACGACCAATTCAGTCAGCTTAGCTGTTGAGAAGAAACGAGGAATGGGAATGACTAAGGGAAAGTTGGGTACAAAATGTAAACCCTAGAAAACTGTACCCCATATGTGCTACCCCACTATAGCCTACAGTAGCTATGTCATATAAATCTGACACACCCCCATAGGCAAAGTGGGGGAGAACAAGGGGTCACAAGACCAGTCAAGC